AAGTTTATGAAAACGTGCAATAAAATAATTATTCTTATTCAATTTAATTATACATTTAACCTAAATTTATAAAAAGAAACAAGTGGATAGATACACTTGTTTCTTTTCAATGCCTGCAAAGTTAAATTTTATTAAATGCGTATTGACTGAAATGAAAATATGTATAGGTACATAATATTATTAGGCAATTTTTTTTTATTTTATTAATTTAATTTATAAATATGGATTTGATAATATTGTATTTGTGTATACCAACTTGTAATATTATGTAAGTAATAGAAATTTGTAAACGTAATAAATTTAATCACACAAAATTGTATTTAAAAAATAAAACATTTAAAATCTTAAAAACCATTAAACGAATTAATAGATTAAAAGAAAGAACTAAATTTTCAGTGTACACTGAGATATAATAGCAAAAAAAAACCCTAAATAATTCCTAAACGAAACAAAAAAATACTCTGTCTCTGTTTAAATATTTTTTTCAAGGGAATTTCAAAAATCTACTATAATTTAATTAGGAATGTTATATAAAATGTTGTTGTATATTTAAGCTATGTAAAACCTATTTACTTAGATCTTTGGTTAGTTATCGTTATAAATGTTATAGTATAACAGAATATGTTTCATCATTTTTGAAAATTTAAGATAATTTTTACTATTCCCAAAGGTATTAATATGTTAAGCTGTTGGTACGATTAATTATTTTTTTTGTACCTATTCTGTAAAGAAAAAATATGTTTTTATAATTTGTAGATAATTTACCTAGTTAAACCAGGTTAAATTGGTTAAATTATTAATAAGAAAATATTATCTATTTTAAATTTAACACTCATTATTTTGTGCGTTAGTTTAATTTGAATTTTATGGCTGATGATGTAAATTTAAATTCTCAAAGTAGAAAGTGCTTACCAGTGTATTATCCAATATTTTATACATATATTCTAAAATGTCAATTTTCGACGAGAGCACGACGCAAAAAATAATGATTTACACTTCAAACAAATGTTAGAGTAGGTAATTATTATTACAATATTATGTCTCTGTGGAAATTCTGGCCAAGTGGGGGGCTGTATAATATGTAATGTGACGTATGTAATATGCCACCTGTTTCAAGCAAATACGAAACTCTAGTCTTAAGAATAGCCAATAGGACACCGACATCTTATTGATATCCCTCGTGTACATATTGTCTATTAAATGTAGAATGGTAAATTAAGATTTAATAAAATAAGTGACTTAAATTCACAATATTTTAATAATTCCACAGCTAACATAATAAACATATTGATCTTTTTCGCTGGGAAGACAATACTCTATGATTTTTTATAGATATAGTTGGTAAAAAAGAAAAATATTAGAGGGATATTTATTAGTTACTGGTTACTTTATACAACCGGAATTTTAATCTCCTAATAATTTACGACACACAAATATCATATTTTACCAAATTGAAAAATAAAAACGACTTTACTAGGTATATTTAAATTTAAAGTAGGTAGGTATATTATTATCATTTTTTTTTATCCAAATAAATTAAATTAAACAATACGTTTAAATCAAAATCAAACTGAAAATTCAAAATATTTTATATACCTATATATATAATATATGAACAGCAGTTGAGTTTATCTCAGACCGTTTTGTTTTGCAGTTATTTTAATTTGTAAAAAAACCTTTTCGCAACACATCGGATCAGAACAAAATCGTTGTTCGTAGGTTCAACTCAAAAGCACTAAAACTCGAGAAGTGTTATATAGGTTGGATCGGACATTCGGACGTGTTCTAGTGTGGTTAGATAAAATAGACGAATACTGTAACGAATTTCGCTGGATCACGCCATAACTGAATAAGTAAACTGGCCGAATAGTTAGTAATAATAAAATGGATCAAAACGTTTTTTTGGCATAGTACCACGTGTAGCCTCTCCCACTACGACTCCGTGTCTCGAAGTCTTAAATAGGTCTGTTGTGAATTGCAACAGTCATAATTTACTAGACTTTTATAGTAATGATGAGGGAAAAAAAACTTTGTCACAGATTCAAAAATACTGTTTATAGTATTATAGTATAATATTGATTATTCACGTCGTTGAATAACTTTTATATTAGGTACTTACGACAAACGCATAGTTATAAATATGTGCAGCAATTTTTTTTAAATGTATACAGATTTTAATAGATATAAGTATTGAGAATTTGTAATTACTTAATTCATAATTGTTTCCTTTATAATTTATCAATAAATAAATACGAGTATTTATGTCCTATCTCGTATGTTTTTCGCCCATGCAAATTACCTATATAAAATTAAATATAATAATATAAATTTATAATTAAAGTTGATAAAGTGTACATGTATACATATAAAAAAATTTACAAATAATCACATACATTTTTGATAAAATATTAGTAGATAATAAACAACAACATTTGAGGCCCTGCAAATTTGTTCCATATATTATAAATAGGGAATTATTCTAACTACACCTTAAACTTTCACTTTCAAGATTCAACGTATTACTAGTCAATCGAAAAATAAACCTATCTATAGAATTTGGACCACTGCCTTTACAGTTGGTTAACGATTGTGTACGTACGTAATACGTATGCACCTATACTGTATACAAATATATGTATATATAGGTACATTCTACTAGAACAATAATACAAATAAAAGGAGACATATATGTACTTGATTTAAGTATGATGATATTTTTAAATCAAGGAATATGTTAGATATAATAATTGTTATTAACGTTTACCTACAAAGTATCTACGCATACTTGCTATATTAAGATTTTTTTTTCATATTTCTAAGATCGCCATGAATGTTTAATTTTTATTAGACAATGCGATAAACATTAATTATGAGTATTATAACCCTTATTGTGTTTCATATAAAATTTCAAACAAAATAATTAAGTAGCTTATAATAAATACAGTAAATTTATAACAAGTTAATAATGTTAGGTACACTCAAGATGGATTTATAAGTTAAAAATAAATTTATAAATCCAAGTTGATTACACTATTTAAATATTTAAATAAGCATATATAACAATACATTTGAGTAATTAGCCAATATAAATTCTTCTATAAAACAATTTTTTTTAAGAGAATATCAATTTTAAAATATTATATTTATTAAATGTTGTATTTTAATATCTATAACATTTTATAAATTATTTTAACTTTATAATKCTTACATAGATAGGTACTAAGTTAACCTGCCATAATATTGTTATATACGATCGTTGTTGACGTCAATTTTTTTTTATATGAAGTTTTATTACTATTTTATAGAGGCATTGTATTTACTTATTACATAATTTAATGCATAATATTATAATAAATCTATATAAGTCTATCATTACTATGCATATTATAATTTAATCAGTTACCTAGATACAAAAATATTGTACATTTTTTTATTTGCACATCGCTATCTATATTATTTTAATTAGACTTTGATAGTTTGATGGCAATAATATAATGTAATTTCTCTTGTATAATATGCATTTATTAAAGGAACTAACAATCACCCTTTCCCTCTCTAAAATACTATTTTATCAATCAAGTAAATATCGAGATATTTTTAATTTAAATATGACCTATTTATTTTCATAATTGATTGTTAGTATATAGTTGACAAATTTAATACGATTTTAAACAACAAGAAACCCTCTAAAAGTTAGTTCAAATCAACTATAACTGAATTGTAATATTATTGATTTTTGAAATATATATTTTGCTGGTATAATTGCAGCTGCATATTATTGCACAAATTGTCTTCGTTGTAAAAACAATATAGACTATGATATGTGTGTAAAGTGTAAAGATGTGAGTTTGATTTTGATTTTGGCTCACTAATAAATATAAATATTATACATGTATTTAAATTTAGAGCATATTTTTTGAATAATTCAATCGCTTGTTGCCACCATATATGTAATATGATGTACACATTTTGTCCATTAAATCAATTAACTGTTTGATTTTTTCCTAAAAAACTGAAATATCTATAGTTTTGGCAGTTTTTCACTTCATGTTAGGTATTTCCCTATTAAGCGCATTACTTAAGTACCTAAGTATTCTTAAATTTCTTTAGATTTAAATTGTGAATATTTTGTTTTAAAAAGTGTTTTTATTTAAATTGGAGCCATAATATATAGTAACAATAAATTCAATGTGGCACACAGTCACCAAACATAGCGTAATATAGGTATGTTTCATTTGTATTGGGCTTCAGTTAATCGTTCTTAATGTATTCATAGATCCTTCGAAAAAATTTTATTTTGATTACAAAAATTCTTCAAATTTCCAGAAAACGATCCAATGTTTTCACTTCAATAGATCTAATTTAGATTTAAACCGATTTCGGTATACATTATTTCGATTTGTATGTAATGTTTCGATCGTATAATGCATTCAATCTCCCCGGTAATAAAATCTATAAGCTCGAAATGCACGCATACACATACTAAAATATCATTTACAAAGTATATACATAATATAACATTATGAGGGCGATGGTCGAAAAAAATAATTTTAACGATGATATTATTACCTATTAGAAGTAATACGATGGATGTTGATATCGATATTGTATGTGTTACATATTATATTATGATAAAGTAGACATAGGTACTATCGGGGGGTATCGAAAGTCAGACAGTGCGTAAAAATAGACGTAAACGAAAAAATCCGGCCGGTGGTCGACGAGAATTTCGGATTTTGGACAATTTCGAGCCGCCCCCCTCCACCCCCGCCGCGGCACTGGACCGACGGCGAGTGTGCATCGACGGATTCAGCAGCAGCAGCAGCAGCAGCAGCGCGACAACGACGACGGAGGGTCGCCGGCCCGAACCATATATGGCGGGCCGGCCGCGCGCAGGGC